CATGTCCCTATGGAGGAAAGGAGGGTGTTACATCGTACAGGATTCCGCACAAGCTCCGGTTCCGTGAATTGACCCCCCGCTTTTCCCTTCTGTACATCCGAGATGAACTCCATAATCGTTTTCCTCGTGGAGAAAGGCGGCCCCGAAGAAAGAAAGAAAGAAAAGGAGTGGAAAGGAAGAAGAGTAAACATATACATATGTATATAGTAGGGAAGGCGGGGGGAAAAAAAAACACCTCATGCACTTTTATCCGCTACGAACCAACTGAGCCACGATGGATGGAGAGAGAGAATCTATTGCCCTCGCGCCCATCTCGGCGGGACTCCGCGCCCCATCCTCGAATTAGAAAAGGAACAAACTCCAACTGGGGCTTGTCGTGCAGGTGGTTGGAGGAGAGGCCCTTCTTCACGAAGCTCAAAGGTCGAGGCGGCCGTTTCGCATACCTTTGCCGCCCCAGCGCGCGTGCCGCCATGCTCGAGTATCGCTGGGCGCCAATGCGGATGTCCGACGGCGGCTCCAGCGCCTGCGTGTTGAATCGGCCCAACGGCGCCCAGTGGAAATGGGTTGATTGACCATAGCGGCCCAGCGCCCCTCGCGGCTGTCGGCTCCTAGAATTTCTTCGCCGCATCCAAGCCTGGGAGAACGTCTCCGGGGCGTAGTTCTCTCCTCCACGACTGCCACGCCTGAAACGCCAGAGGGAGGGCCTTCGGCGCAATATATCGGTCATGATTTCTACAGTCGAAGGGAAGAAGCTCCAATACGGATCTGTCGTCGCGGAAAAGCCGTCGCAAAGAGACTGCTGCTGATACGTGTCGCCGCCAGCGGCGGCGTGTGCCTCAAGGTACCTGTGCCCAGAAATCGTCAAACCATGCAGATGTGAAGTTCGGTGTCGCATAACGAAGGGCAGGTCTGCATTCGCGGCAGTCGTTCCCTGCCTCGCCCCCGGCGCCGCGTGTGGCGGAAACTGCACCGTTGGCAGTGGCGGCCGCCGCGGCGAGCGCTGATGGGCCGTTGCGCCCAGACGCCCCAACAAGGTGGTTCCGCCAAGGACAAGACCATTTTCCTCCTGCCCCGCTGGCGCCTTTGAAGGTGAAAAACGCTGCGAGAGCAAATACGGCAACCAGTTGAACGCCAGCGAAGGCGCACGCGGCGGAGTCGAAGTAAGTGCACCCCCCGGACCGCCAATATCGCCCGCACCTGCCCCAAAAGCAGGACCAGCACCAGCACCACCAACACTGCCGCGAGCTTGGGCTGGTATCCGCCCAGACATCCTTTCACTTTCCACCGCTCCATGCGGCCACCCCCTTCCATGGGGCGAGTTGACCCGCCTGGGGGAGTAAAAGGGACCTATTTGGTTTGGGTGATAGTACGTTTGTGCTTGCCGATTCCCCGCCGAGCCGAATAGCTGAGAGAAGTCAAACTGAACCACAGCCGCATTGCACTGTACGCGCTGTGGCCCTTTTCGCGCACGGCCCGACCCACGGTTGCCTGCGTACGTCGGCCGCGTAGGAAGAACTGGCGGCAATGTCACCTCCTCACCTGCAACGGCACCCGACGTCGCATCGATTACGCCCACCGCACCCGCAGGGCCAGCGTCACCGTCCTCGTGCCTCACCGCCTCTCCGCTAGGCAACTTGTCGGCGCTCCTAACCGTAAATTTTGGAAGCGTCGCTGCCGTTGTTGGTTTCTTTGCTCTAGCCGCCGCTAGTGGCTCCTTGGGTCGCTTCCCCACAGCCTCAGTCGCTTTTACAGAAGCAGGGGCGGCAGGGGCGGCAGGGGCGGCAGGGGCGGAAGGGACGGCAGGGACGGAAGGGACGGAAGGGACGGAAGGGACGGAGGGGCGGCAGGGACGGAGGGGGCGGAAGGGACGGGATGGGGCTGAAGGGACGGAAGGGACGGAAGGGGTAGGCTGCTGTGCGCCGTAGCTTTCTTCCTCGGTGGCTGCATGAGGCAAAGGCTGATCAACACCCTCCTGTCCGTCGTCTCGAGAGGAATATTTAGGACTGGTATTATTGTCTCGCTTCTGGGCGATGTGCGAAGGCTCAGTAGCTGGGGCTAGCACAGCAACATCGCGGTGGTCGTCGTCGTCGTCGTGGGTCCTCTGCGGCGCGAGGCGGCCGCTGTCTACACGTGCAGCATCACCTGCAGCCACTTCTTCGCCGACGCGCGGAGGTTCCCCTTTGGCAGCAGCGTGGGCAGCATGCATGGGACCGCCTTTGTCGCCCTTCCGGGCATCCGATCCAGCGGTGCCTGTGACGCCGCCTCCCGCCGGCGCGGGAAGACTTCCAACAGCAACCGCCTCGCTTGAACCGGCGGCCCTCTCCGCAACGCTCGACTTCCAGGATACGTCCGCCCTCGGCGACGCACTGAGCTTCTCTGCCGCGCCAAGCTTCCCTGTTGCACTGGGCTTCTCTGCCGCGCCAAGCTTCCCTGATGCACTGGGCTTCTCTGCCGCGCCAAGCTTCCCTGTTGCGCCGAGCTTCTCTGCCGCGCCAAGCTTCCCTGTTGCACTGGGCTTCTCTGCCGCGCCAATCTTCCCTGATGCACTGGCCTTCTC